GGTACTGAACATTTCTGGGAATTTCTAAGATACAAATAGATAACTCTTTTTATTCTTTCTTATGATTAAATCTGAGTTAAGAAGTTGACAAATCCTTGTCAGGTGTCTAAATCCAGCAATATTTCTGGATGACATATACAGAGGTACTAAACTTTCAGGTTTTCCCTAGATTAGCTGCTAAATTAATAATAAAAAAGACAGTCTAAACTGAGAGAATTTCTTAGCTTCGTACTCAAACTATGCACATTTTTTCTATCTTAGAAGATTTAATGTGGGAGGTTTACTCAATTCCATTTGTTTTGGCCTTTAATCAGCCACAATGGATTCAGAGGACATGAGCTGCATGCCTGATGGCTCTTTATCCAGTTAATTTTTGCTGAAGAAACAGAAAAACTTCATTAAGCTTTGAAATCTGACAAGGACACTCTGCTATCTTTGCACCATTCCACCTCTATCTCTATAAAATAGCAACAGCACAGTCAGTATAACACAATACCATGTACCATGTGAACAATGGTGCAATAAGCAGATATCCCAATAAGCAAACACAAAAATAAAATCATATAATGTGTGAATCAGGATTTAGAAAAAATATTAAGTGATCCAAAACCTTTTCCTTTTCCTTTGGAAAAGCTTTACTATTTTTTTTTTATTTATTTTTTTTAATTTGATTTATATGCCGCCCTTCTCTGGAGACTCAGGGCGGCTTACAATGCGTTATTTGCTCCAAAGCATGAACATTGAATTAAAGTACAATTCCCATTTAACAAATTTTAGATTTGGTTAAAAGTAAAAAGAATTTTTTTCAACATTTTTATTGTTGTGAGGAGGATTCCCTTAAAATGAAGTAGGGTATATAGGATTGAATGAAGAGCCATTTAGGATTTTTTGTGAAATAAGTGAACAGTGACAAATATTACAAAATAATGAATAGATAGTAAGAAATATCAATTGATAATTTCATATTCAACTGATGAGTTATTAATTTGACTAGAGGGATCATTAGGCTCCCTTCCTTATGTTCCTGCTAAGAGTGATGCTTTGTAGAGAACACTGGCTGCTTCCTTCATTTTCCTGTATCATGGATTTCTAAAAATTATCCTGTCTCTCTTTCTTCAGTAAGCATTTATAAAGATCCTTGATCTTTCTCCACATATTCAAATCCAGTATTATGGACAGGGGCACCCAGAACTGTCAGAATGATGAAATGGGCATCATGATGTCATAATGCAAGCTTCATATAAATATGGTTAGATATGACATCATGATGCAAGTACAAAAATTTGCATTGATATAATTTGTCATTTGATTCCTTATCTTCTTCTGCTGATGCCCATGGTACAATGTATATTATAGCACAACTTTATGGAAAGTTCAAAGAAATACATTTCTAACTTATGCTGACAACTTTTCCAAGGGAAAAACAAATTAATAATTAGAAACTAGTTCATTCCATTGCAGTGCATAGCTCAGTTCTTTGGTAATTTTTTTCCTGTTTTTTTGTAAAGCATCCTATTCTTAGCCACCAGTTAAAAAAAACTTTTATAAGAACATAGCTGTTTTTGAAATGTCGGTATCATGGAATCTTACAGCAAGTTTTCATGTGTTTTAACCCAGATATCTGAAGGATGATGGAAAATATGCTGCAGGAAAAAAAAGTTAAATGGATATATTCAACAACAATTTGAGCATATTAAAATATTCCAGTTATGGAAAATTATAATAAGACAATGTTTTAATCATACAGCTTTTCAAATTGCTATTGCATATAATTTTAATTCCCTAAAAAGAAGAGTACTAACTTCAGAAAAAATTTAAAACCGTATAAAACAGTAAGCAACTCCTTTTTAACATGTAGAATTCTTCATTTAACTATTCAATCATATTTATTTTTTCTAATATTTCTATTAAAAAGTAAAAAAATATGCCCTTTACAATATAAGGAACTTCTTATTGAACAACGCCCCAAAGCAAGCATTTATATATCCTTTATAAAATTAAAAGGTTTTAAAATCATACAGTATACATATTCTTACTAAGAATACCTTAAAAAATAATAATTTGAGTATATATAGCTTAGTTTGTATTAGCTAGAATGAAGAATTTCCTGCAGCACATTATTTCCAGAAAAAATGCCTGAAATAATTCAGGAAACAATGCTTAAAAGGAAATTGCTGAACTCAGCTACTGTATGTGTCTATCAACTTATTTCCTCTGTTCATCTTTGCCAAAAGTCGGTCTCACAGAATCTATCATCCCGTGATCTCTGCATAGCCGGAAAAGGTTTTCACTGTAATTTCATTCAGGCATTACTGAAAGCAGAATGTTCACTGTCCATGTGAGCTTTCTATCAAGCTTCATCGGCTTTCTGCCTGTACCCTGATATGTACAGTTGTGCATGTGAGACTTTTTTCCCCCTGCAAACCTTCATGCCAAATGTGCAAATATCTGCAGGAAGTTCCTATCATCTGAACGATGTTGGTGAAGAGCAAGGTTTTGCTAAAGTGGTCACGTGGTATAACAAATATGTGGCCAGAGGGGAGTAGGGTGAATTCCCAGCTTGCCACTTTGATTCACAAGAATGCCTCAAGGCCTCAGATAAGACAATGAATGTGAGTAGTTGCTGCCAATGCTATAATAACAGCCACTTTTCTATAAAAGGGAAGTTTGGTTGGTAGAAAATACACTGTATTTGCCTTTTGGTAAATGGTTGATTTGTGATAATGCCCACAGCATGCTCTCAAAATTCCAAATGTACTGGGTCCGATTGTGTGTCCATTCCTGCCCTAACCTTTCCTCTCCTTCCCTTTCAAGTTCCAGTGTTGAGCAATTGTATTTTGTGATGTATAGCAAGAATATATTAGGAATTATGCTGGTGTACTATTCAGTCCTTTACTAATTCCTGTTTTGCTTGAATCCATAGATTATTTCTCATTTTGTGTGGAGGATTCCAAGAATGCTGATTCAAGAGGACCTAGATTTCCAGGCTGAAGTCAGTAGTTCAGGATGTTTTGATGCCACTATGTTAATCCTGGGAACATTATTTGTTCAACAAATACAGCAGATAATAGATTAATAGAATAGTGGCCAAGAAGACAATTAACATTTCTGTGTTATGGTCTATTCTTAGACTCTAATTGATTCTCATGAATTGCAGTTCACTCACTCCAATAGATTCTTTTTCATGACATCCTGCCCTATGCCCTCAGGAAAATGCAAATCAAATACAAATCACTGTATCCAAGTATACCTGTTTAGAGCAGTGCCTAGGCTACTTCTTTATACTCTAAACAACTGAAGCAAAATTGAAATGAGCTAGGAAAATCTATGAAACCTGTCTCCAAAGCAGTAAAATAGATGTTAAACCTATGGCAATTATTCTGCTTATTTTGGGACAGTGGTGATAAGTTTGTTTCTTTTTGAATGGCGTTACAATAATGAATAACATCAAGCTATTATCAAATTCTTTGAATTTTTATTTCAATCTATGTATATCCCTATGAAAATTCTGCATATATGTCCAATAAGTTTATGCCATGTATCTATAATGTCATTCAGCTTATATAATAATGATCGAGCTGTTTATACTTGCTGAATATTCCTTCAAGATATTCTGGAATAAATATTTGTGTACCTGTATATTCCATTTCCAGAACAATGTAGCAGTGTGGAAATAAAAGCATTTTTTCAATATGCCAAACACATGCATACCAGCAATGCATTAAAAAGCTTTGAAATTGTATGAATTTAATGATAATTCCAGCTCATGAATTTAATGACAAGCCACATGAAAACCAGAATGGTTTAGAAGAAAATCAAATGTTACACTTCAGGCAATTTTAAACCTGTGCCAGAATATGATCTTCAAAGCAAGCGGGTTATATATATTTAATTATGCATTCTGCTTCTCAAGGTCAAATTGTAGAATTAGGACGTATTTGCATAGGAACAGTCTGTTCTCCTACTGGACTTTTGTATCAAAGAACAAAAGGGACAGTCACTGTAGGGATAGAATGTATCTTTTATATTTTAGATGGCCCTATATTAAAAAGCCACAATGCAGTGTTCTGCTTGCCTTGATCTCAGAGAAATAACCTCCTGGTCTAGCAAAAGTCCTTTTGACATATCGACTGAAATGCATTCTGAAAGAATATACTCAAATCCAAAATAAGGAATGCATAACCAGGAGGACTACTGTCTGTGTTTCCCTCTTGTCCATGGTCTACTGTTCAAGTATTTTCCATTGTAAATCTGTACAGTAGTAATTTCTTAGTTCATCAGATGTGTAATACTTATTTGTTTTGTTTGTAAAATATAACATATCTGGGAGCAGGAGACTTTTAATAAAATAGTTTTATTTTATTAAAATAAAATAAATGGGAATACTGATTTAAAGCCAGAATAGCAATTACGTGTTTTTCTAACTCCTTAAACCAGGGGTCCCCAAACCCTGATCCATGGACCGGCACCAGGCTGTGCTAACAAGCAAAACCCCATGTGTGGGATGCAGGGAGCACAGGAAACCATGCCCCTTCCAGTCCGTGAAAAAATCTCTCTCCGTTGAACCGTTCCCTGGTGCCCAAAAGGTTGGGGGCCTCTATCTTAAACCATTCCTGTTCTAGATGGGGAAAAACAGATAAGAAGGGCCTAAATATTGGTTCTTGAATTTATTTGTATATTTCCTGGTTTTCAGTAAGGGGATATGACTACAGATACAAAGGAAAAGAACTGCTTTTTTAGTATAACTTTTAACAAGAATATGTGGCTATTCTTTAGATAATAGATGCACCAGAATAGGAATAGGAATAGGAATAGGAATAGGAATAGGAATAGGAATAGAATAGAATAGAATAGAATAGAATAGAATAGAATAGAATAGAATTCTTTATTGGCCAAGTGTGATTGGACACACAAGGAATTTGTCTTGATGCATACACTCTCGGAGTACATAAAAGAAAAGATACATTCATCAAGAAATATTTTGCTTAACATAAACTCACCTGAGTATCTATTTTTATTAGTGCAATATCTGCTTTCTCATCGATATCTTTAATTTTAGCGTCATATGTCACACCATTCTTCAGTTCCACTTTCACTCTGTTCTTATTGGTAACCACATGAGCATTTGTAACAATCAATCCATCTTCAGAAACAATGAATCCTGAGCCACTGGCAGCAGGAACTTCCCTTTTTGTAAAAGGCAATCTAAAAGACAACACCAATATCAAAAAGTAAATTAATTTCTGAAGATGACAACATCCGTATGAATCTTTGCTATTTTATATTATTCTGTCAGTTTCTGTCATTATTTATATATTCAGCATCTTCAAAACACACAGATCACTATGTTCTAAAGGTGCTTTTTCAAAAGGCAACTGGACTTGGTTTTTCCTTGAAGACATTTTGCTTCTTATCCAAGAAGTTTCTTCAGTTCTTCATTCAAAAGCACCTTTGGGACAACCATGACCTGGATGACTGAGAATCTCCATAGACCCAGATCAGTACATTTTTACAAAAGATGAACAGTATTTAAGAGCATCATAAAATGTTAATTCAAAATAATGTTATCTTTAAAATCCATATAATCAGCAGGACCAGCAATGTAGTTTGAATATCTTGTTTACCTGCGAAACAATTCTATATGAACCACAGCGGGTGCTATCTTCTCCACCACATCTGCAATAAAATTGTATTTATACCGCAGACTATTGGGATCTTCCTGGCCTAGAGAGAAAGAAAGACAGAAAAACACTTGTCATAAAGTATCATCGTGACCTAAAGAAAGGAACAAAAAATTATTAATTGCCCATAATAAAAGGAGGAAAAATTTTAATTTCTATGAAGCTGATTAGAAGAAGTATGAAGATTATATAAAAAAATTGTAGTAACATTCATGAGAAAAAGTACTATATAGCAGACAGGATAGTCTTCTGTTCAAGCATACTTGCCCAAACAAACTACCAAATATATGAGATTATGATAAAGAGAGGTTTCATTTAAGGAAAAGTCTTTTGCTTTGTAAATTAACTCTTGATAGATCATAAATACCACTCATTTTTAAAATGTACTTTAAAGTTTGGCTATACAGGTAGCCTTTGACTTACCACCATTCATTTAGCAAGGATTTGAAGCTATAATGGTGCTGAAAAAAGTGACTTACAAATTGTCCTCACACTTATGACCGTCACAGCATCCCCAATCACGATTAAAATTTAAACACTTGGCAATGAGCACATATTTATGACAGTTGTGGTATTCTGGGGTCATGTGATCATCATTTACGACCTTTTCAGTCAGCTAATGGCAAGCAAAGTCAATGGGGAAGTTGGATTAGTTTAACAACTTCATCATTCACTTAACAACATCAGTGATTCATTTAATACCCAGCTGTACATCTCCACCCCGGATCACCCCAACGATGCCCTTGAAGTGATGTCCCGGTGCCTGGAGGCCATACGGATCTGGATGGGGAGGAACAGGCTCAGGCTCAACCCATCCAAGACCGAGTGGCTGTGGTTTCCGACAACCCGATATAGTCAGTTGACGCCATCACTGACTATTGGGGGCGAATCATTGGCCCCCACGGAGAGGGCTCACAACTTGGGCGTCCTCCTGGACTCACGGCTGTCTTTAGAAGAGCACTTGACGGCCGTGACTGGGAGGATTTTTTATCAGGTTCGCCTGATTCGCCAGTTGCGTCCCTTTCTGGATCGGGACTCATTACGCACAGTCACTCATGCCCTCGTCACCTCCCGCCTGGACTATTGTAATGCTCTCTACATGGGGCTCCCCTTGAGGAGCACCCGGAGGCTCCAACTGGCGCAGAGTGCGGCCGCGCGGGTGGTAATGGGAGTGACATGGCGCTCCCATGTAACACCTCTCCTGCGCGAGCTGCACTGGCTCCCGGTGGTCTTCCAGGTGCGCTTCAAGGTTTTGGTTACCACCTTTAAAGCGCTCCATGGCTTAGGACCTGGTTATTTACGGGACCGCCTATTACCACCAATAGTCTCCCACCGGCCAGTACGCTCTCATAGAGAGGGACTCCTCCAGGTGCCGTCAGCCAAACAGTGTCGACTGGCGGCCCCTACGGGGAGAGCCTTCTCTGTGGGGGCACCTACCATCTGGAATGAGGATCCCGGATCTGCGCTCCTTCCGCTGCGCTGTGAAGACCTTTTTATTCCATCAGGCGGGCTTGGCCTAATTTTCTTCCCTTTTTAAATATGTAAATTTTAATCTGTTTTTAAATTATTGGGGTGTTTTAATCTGTCTGGGCCAAAATGATTTAATTTGATTTTATCTGGTTTTTAAATTTTTGTATTTATGTATTTTATTGTTGGCTGTTCACCGCCCTGAGTCCTTCGGGAGTAGGGCGGTATACAAATCAAATAAACCTAAACCTAAACCTAACCTAATAATCATGTCACAAAAAGGTTGCAAAATTGGCACAACTCATTTAACAACCACCTTGTTTAACAACATAAATTATGGTCTCAACTGTATATGTAAGTCAAGGACTACCTGTATAAACACTATGTATGAATTAAGTGCTTCTCCATGCATCATCCTCACCTTCACCTTCTACCCAATATTAATGATAGGGCATTTTTCAGGACTTTGCTACTTAGTGTAATATGCAGCAAAGGCATCTCAGTTTACAGCAGCTCCTTACTAGTGAAGGAGTATATGAATTAATATTGGCTATTTGCTTTTATTATGAATTACTTATGCTACTATATAATTGTTACTGATTAAACCAATATTTGCCATTTGCTTCTGATATGATATACTGCTAGAAATAATTTATTAGGGATTAAGCTTTGTTATTGGCTTCTGCTTATATCAGTGTTTCTCAACCTTGGAAGCTTGAAGATGGGTGGACTTCAACTCCCAGAATCCCCCAGCCAGCTGTTGAAGTCTACCCATCTTCAAGCTACCAAAGTTGAGAAACACTGGCTTATATTATTGTATACTGTCATAAATTAGTTGTTAGGAACTAATTCTTGCTTAGTAAATTGTAACCTTAATAGTGGTTGGCATTAGTGCAAAGTTTGTTATCTCACTGCTGTGTCTCGCTTCTATTCTTGGCTTCAAGCTAGGCACATCCTTGAAAATATAGAATAAATTGTTACCCAGGAATATCAGGCTTCATAGATAAAGGAACCAGAGTAGGGAGTTTTCCTGCCTCATAAATTCTTAATCCTGAAAGCATTCTGCCCAATAAACAACTTGGCCAAAGGGGCGGGTGGGGGGGGGGGGGGAAACGGACTGCCCCTACACAAGGCTATAGGAATACTCCATAGATAAGGTAGACAGAGACAGGGGCCTGAAAAAATAACACTTTAAAGATCATGTTGGTAACGAACCTTTGTCTCTGATTGGGTAAACTTTGTTTCTATCTGCGTAAAATGTATATAATACTCTTGAGCCACTCTCACAGGGGTGTGGCTATTCCTTAGATACATTTTGCTTGTATGTTTTAGATAGTGTTTTGTCACCCAGCTTTTGCTATGGCCATAAATAAAAGCTGTTATCTTTTTGCAAGCTTCGTCTTGAGTCTCACTCTCTTTGGCATCACAGTGGCTCGGGGAAACTTCTGGGACCTTACATTAGTATAACATTAAAATATATTATATTCCTCCTAAACATTGAGTATAGTTTGCAGGAGTATGCAAACTATTTAAATTCAAATATTTTCTGTGTGAAATAGATACTTTTAATTTGAAATTACCTTTATTGGAAGCACCCTGACACTATTTCCGTTTTACTGGAAGCCTTTTGAACTTGAAATATTTTCAGTAAGATTAAAAAGAGCCAATCTGATCTGTTTTGCATTTGAAATGTTTAGCAATCCTATATGAATCCACAAATTGGCTTCCTTAACAAGACATTTGTGATTACATTTCTGTCCCTTGAGCAAAATTGGGAGAGAAACAATATGTCTTATTGGTGCAGATACAAGGGGATGTAACTGTTTCTTCTGCCGCTCAAATTGTTTCTTGTATTTTTTTAACTTCTCAGTAGACTCTGCATGTTGAGACTATAGGAAACCTGGAGACACTCAGAAACAGGCAATTCTGCTGCCAAATCTATAGTGATTTCCAAAGATTTTCCACATATTTGAAAAGTCTGATAGACTGTTAACAAAGCAGTTTCAAGGTTTTCTTTCTAGCATGACAAGGGCAGGAAGTTTTTTTCTATGAAAAAACCCAAAAGTATTAAAACTGAAATAAGAAACAGCAGAAAAAACTACAGATAGAATCAAATGGTCTCACCCATGTTAGATCTCTTAAAGCAATCCAATGGCTTCAATAAATTAAATGTTTATCCTGTGCAAAATAACTTGAACAGGGAAAAAGATGCTTCTTTAGACAGCTACACTGATTTCTTTGTTCTTTTACTGTGCTGCCAAATCCAATCTATCAATCTAATGAGTAGTGACTGAATGCCTTCATACCCGGCACATGTAAAAACCCTCCTAGCCTTTGAAAAAACCTAAAATCTCTTTGATGGTATTAATGTTGGTGATGTTCTGTATAAGCATCCAAGTAATGTTGGTAATCAGATCCTTTTCATTTTATTTTCATAATATTCCGAAGGACCAGTATCTAGGCATAAAAGTTCAGTCACAACTGCTGTACAAGATAATTAACAAAAAATGTCAACATCCAAAAGCAGCTAAGGATAAAGAAAACTTATCAACTTCTACAAGGCCAGCATTTCTTGCAGCATGTAGAGGAAGAGCAGAATGCTCTGATAATGAAAGCTTCATTCATTCTTTTGCTATTTTTCCTTCATTGGAACGTACAAAAATTATTTAAAATATTCACAAGCAGTGAGTTCTCCTACCAGTAAATCCCAATCAAATTAAGCACAGCTGCCAGACTCTGAGCCAGATCCAGTAGAACAATGTCTCTCATTTCACATAAAGGATATTTGCATGAGAACCTAATACCTATTTAGGAAATTATCCAAACAGTAACCAACACAATTCAGGGAGTCCTTGACTTAAAACAGTCTGTTTAATGACTGTCATGTCATGTGATCAAAATTCAGATGCTTGGTAACTGAGTCATAGTTATGATGGTTACAGTGTCCCAGGATCATATGATCACCTTTTGCAACCTTCTGACAAGCAAAGTCAACGGGGAAACCAGATTCACCTACTAACTTAATTATAGTGATTCATTTAACAACTGTGGCAAGAAAACTCGTAAAGTGGGCAAAACTAACTTAAAAAATGTCTTGCTTAGCAACCGAAATTTTGGGTTCAATTGTGCTCATATGTCAAGGACTACCTATAGCACAATGTCTGCCGCTGCTGAAGAGATAGCAAATAACAGTCTTATCAAAATCTACGCAAGCACCTGCCCTGTGTTTAACTGCCACAAACTCTCTACTGCAAAGGTGTCCAACATTGGTAACTTTAAGACTTGTAGACTTCCTCATGCTGGCTAGGGAATTTTGGAGTTGAAGTCCACAAGTCTAAAAGTTGCCAAGGTTGAACACTCCTGCTTTAAGTGTAATACTGAGGAACCTCCAAGTCATCTACTTCAGGTGGCAGCATTCCATTAGAACCATTAGAACCATTAGAATCATGCTTCAAGTACCTTCTCTACCTCTTCCTCACTTCATGGACATCAGTTTGATAGGCATAACATCCGTCTTTATAGATCTTCAGAGCAATCTCAAAAATGTAAACCCATAATTGAAGACTCTCTCAGGAA